GCGCCCCCGTGGAGGGTGGCCCCAGAACTCCCTGTCTGACAGCCCAGGCAGGGGGTGCACGGCTGGCTCCCAGGGGTGCGCACTCCTGGCTGCGGGATGCAGGCGTGCTTTGCAGAGTGTGCCCGCTGGGCTCACACTGCTAGGGGAGCCAAAGCTGGCTCCCTGAAAACGGGATCCTGATCCAAGGAGAAAATCGGTGGTTAGAATGCCAGGGAAGAAGCGGTGCTAGTCAGTGGAGACAAATTTCGGTGAACAGTCTTAGGGTGGAAAATCAAGCCAGGAATTCCATTTGGAATGAGCAAATACGGCAGAAAAACCCGGGGGTTGAAGCCAGTGGTAAATTCACCTTTGCTGGCAATGACAAAGTAGTGGTGGGTGTGTGCCGAGCCCGAGTCCCTGGGCCTGGGCAAAGGATCCCACACACGCATCTGTGTGCTCCTCCCTGCAGCTCCACAGACTGTGCTGTAGTCAGCCCATTGTACAGAGGGGGAGACTGAGGCCCAGAGACGCAGAGCCCTTGGTCGCACGCAGGACATCATGGTGGGAGGGAAACTGAGCTGCATCCTGAGGGCAGGAGTGAAGATGCCGTCGGGGGCCATCTGACCTGGCCTGGGAGGGGGCAACATCCTGGGGAACCACAGCACTGGGAGATGAGGGCAGGTCCACGAAGGTGAGACTGTCAGGCCGGGAGAGCTCATGGATGCTCACGCTCAGCCCTAGTGCTCTGTGGGTGAGAATTTTTTTGTTGTTTTAAGCAAAGCCCAAGTGTGCAGGCTGGTCCTTTGGGAAGAACGTCCAACCATGCCGTGAGGGAGAGGCATGCTGCGCAGGGCGGCCTCAGGCCAAAGGAGTGGGCTGTCAGCCTGACGAGTGCCGAGGAAGCCCAGGTCAGTGCCCACCCCGCATCCCATTCGGTGCCGCTGTGAGCTCAGGCAAGGCCGCTCAACGCCGCCTGGTGTGGCGCTGGCCCTGCCGCCCAGTGCGTGATCCATGCCCGGGCTCTGCCTCTCCGGCTGCGCCCTGGCCCCAGCCCATCCGCCTGGCCCGGCGTCCACCTGCTCGGCTGTGGCACAGGCCAAGATGGGCTGTTGGAGTGGTGAGGTGGAGAGTGCCTTTCGCTCCTCCTCGCCCACGGCAAGTGCTGTGCGGGGTCCCGACAGGGCCAGACCAGAGGGTGGCTTATGGAGCACCCACTGCAGCGGTAGATGACCGCCTGGCCCTTCCTCCCATCAGGGTCCCTCCTGCCATCGGGGATGCAGACGTCGTCTTTCACTTGTGGACGGGGCTCAGACATGTCGGGAGGCTGCTCAGGCCGTGGGTATGCCTCAATCCTGCAGCTCGGGCAGGTCTCTCCCACCTGATTTTGAAGTATCACCGCTGCGATGGTGTTCCCAGGAGGAAGCCCGTCTGCCAGGTGCCCAGGCTTGCCCGGAGCCTGGTGTCCTTCTTGCTCTGCGTGGTTGCTTTCTCTGGAATCCACACTTGAGGTGTCAGCTGACTCCTTGTGGAGCTGCTATTTTTGGATCCCTCCCTTTTTTTGGAGATCTGCGGGATTAGAGTCAAACGTTTGAGTTCAATGTGACTTAAATATTGTATTCTGTGCCATAAAAGGCTATTTCTGTTCAAACAACAGCCAAATGTCATTTTAAGAGGGAGAACGTTACTTAGGATTTAGATTAAGGCAGACACATTTGAAGACCTGCGAAGACTGGTCACGTATTTCTGTGACTTAAAGAGAATGTGCTGGTCCTGCTGGCGGGGTGGCGGGGCTCCACACACTTGTTTGGGAATCACATGAGCGTCCCGTAGCCACCCTTTATAACACAGAGCCATTCAGCTGGCTTCCGTTTGGCTTTCCGTGGGGACTTTGGATTATGGTTCTTACTTATGATTTCAGTGACTAGTAGCGTTCTGGTTTCTTCTTTTTTTAATAGAAAAGGTACCTACATGAGATGTAGGTGCTGTTTCATTGACACGGACCTCTTGGTCTTAGCCCACAAATCCCAGGGTCCCATGCGTGTCTTCAGGGCCTCCTTTTTATTTCCCTACCCCTTTAGTAGAGTTGGGTGAAGAATGTGCTGCAGATTATAGGATCTGGATAGGGAAGATGAAGTGTTTACTAATGTCATGAAATACATAATGATCCTTGTAATAATCTGCATGTGCTGGACGGTCATTCTTGTGTGAACAGCTACCAGCCTTCCAAGGAAGACGGTCTTCCGGGGAATTCTGCGCCCCTTTGGTGAAGTTCTGGTTTTTACCATCAAAAGCATAAAATCGTGTGTGTATGTTACTCAAGACACTGCAGAGGGAGATAAAGGAAGAGCTTGCGCACATCACGGAGCCTTTGGCGGCTCTTCCGGGTGATGAGGCCATCCATCCACCCAGTATGGCCACCTGCGGCACCCGGCTCCTCGGTTGCTGCCCCCGGGTGGCCGACATTGTTGTGTGCCCTTGTCCTTGGCCCTGAGGGCAAGCCTGTCTGGTGACCTGACCCAGGCTGGCCCAGTGCGTCTCCTGACTCGGGTCCTTTGTACAACTTGTAAACTGTGCTGCAGGCAAGGAAACTGTCCCATCGTCGACCTGGTTGATACAGGTGCCCATGTGATTCCTGGAACTTGTATTGTTATCATTCCATCTCAGCGAGGGGTGCACTGTCTTATAGAGAAACCATGAAATGTTGTATGTGAGGACACCTGCCAAAGGGGCCATGGGGTGGGGTGGTATCCAGGTGGCCTGGCTGAAGGTCCTAGTGCCTTCACTGGGGTAGGGCTCCACTCTGCCCCTGCACATGCAGCGTGCCACCTGCTTACCACTCCTTGTAGTCAGGGCTTGCTCTGTGGCCAGTGTTGCGGCGCTGGGCCTCTCCCCCAGCCCAGGCCTCGCTCTAGGTGCCTTGTCCCCACGAGCCTGCGCCCTGAGAGCAGGTGTTCAGGAACAGGAGACATTCAATGCTCTGTTCAATGGGAAATGAAAATCGCCTTAGTGAACTCGTGATAAACCCATTTTTAAAAGGAGAATAAACAGCAAGCCAGGGGTGGTTTACTTAACTAGCTGGCATCAAATATGGATGCTTTTCTCATGCCACTGAAATCAGCATTCTGGTCAGAATTTTTCCACTCTTTAGAGAACACACCCCATGCTGCAGATTGTGTTTTTATGTCACAGCTGGGAAAGGAGGGGTCTGATCACTCCCCGATGCTGAACATGCCCATCGAGAGGGGCAGCTGCTGCGTGGGGCGCTTCCTGGCTGCACTGCAGGTCGTTCACCCTGTCTGAGACGCGCCTGGTGCTCTTCCCATGCGGAAGCGCCGCACGCAGGGCCGGGCGCCCTGTCCTCCATCCCCCGCAGCCTGCTCTCTGGCTCCGCCTGTGGGCTCGGCCTGGCTGAATCCTGGATGCAGCTGCTTTCCGTCAGGGACTGCACAGTTGTCGTCTCCAGAGCGGCCGTCTCTCCGGGGCTGGTTACGTGCCGTCCATGTTTGTCAATGGCACGCTGACTGCCGGGCGCTGGCACCAGCAGGAAACCGAGGATGAGGCTTGTTCTAGGTGCTCACATCAGGGGTTAGGTGGGGTCGCCTTGTGCAGGGGCCTGCCTCTGGGATGGTGTGTTTGGGGAGGGGATAGTAATTTTGCAGGTTTTGGTAAATTCTTGAGAGCCAGCCAGTGTTGCTCTGTGTCAGGAGGTGCCAAGGAGAGGAGGAGAAGCTCAGAGCCAGGAAGAGTGCAGCGGGTGGCACGGAAAGTAGTTTCTGCGGCAGGCGGGCCGGGGACATGGGGACAAGCAACCTCTCAGCCTCCACGAGTCCCAGCCCCATGGCACGCCTCCGCTGCCATTGCACCCTCGTTCTTCTGGTGCCAGCAACCCCACTTACTGGCCCTCCCCGCTCACTGCCCTTCCCCCAGCCATACCGCCGGGTCGGGCCGAGCCCCTCCATGGCTGTCGTGGTGACGGTTGTCTTGTTGCCCCAACAGTGGGCCCTGTCAGTGATGCACTGCCCACCAGGAGGGTGGGGCCAGGGAGGGTCACCCGAGATGCCCAGCATGGCTCCCTGCAGAGACGTGGGTCCGTGCCTTGATGGGGTGTTTTCAGGACTCCTGTGCTGGGGGGTGTGGGGTGGCTGGAGGGCACCTGGGTGGCCCTCTGAAGACAAGTCCTCCCTGAGTTACTGGGGGGTGCCGGGAAGCTCAGCAGGCCGCATCTTCACCGAGATTGACTCGCCATTGTCTAGGAATAAAAGTGTTGGCGGGTTTGTGGCGCGGCAGTGGGGTCAGTTTGGACAGAAGCCTGGGTGTAGGAGAACACTGGTGACCACAGGGTCGCTGCTGTAGGGCCTTGACCTCTTGGGTGTCGCCCGCAGTGCTGAGAGGAGGTGGGCTGTATTGGCTTTGCCACCGGGTGCCCATGTGGCCTGGGCGAGGTCCTCCCCTGCAGTGACACGGGCTGCGTGCACCTGCCTTGCAGGGTTGTCGGGAGGTGGTGTGCGAGCCGTGCGTGAGACAGCCTGGTTCCCAGTGAGCGCACAGCAGGCGGCTCTGCTCACTCCTGGGAGGGTTAGAGGTGGCATGCAGGCACACACGTGCCACAACACACATGCACGTGTGCTTGCACATGTACTCACACACGCACGTGTGCTACACTCACACGCACAGGTGCACGCCTGGGCTCGTACCCTCTGTGGAGGACGTACCTGGTGTCAGTGGCGGCTGTCGTTGCTTGTGAGGCTCGGACTGGTATAATGGGAAAAAATGCCTCTCAGTAACTGAAGAAAGTTCTAAGAAATTCTGAATTCTAAGGAACTTACAGTAAAGGGAAAGTGGGAGACATTGGAGACTGTGATGATCAGAAGTGGGGAAAGGTGGTGTGATTCCTAGGATTTGTTAAAAAACCGCCGTTGCGGACATGGGTTGTCCCACCAGCCCCTTCCTCGCAGGGGTGGCGGTGCCCCTGAGCGGCCCTGGGGAAGCCCTGACGGCCCTTCCTGTGCTTCCTTCCCTAGATCGTCCACACGCACAAGCCGCACTTCATGGCCCTGCACTGCCAGGAGTTTGGAGGGAAGAACTATGAAGCCTCCATGTCCCACGTGGACAAGTTTGTCAAGTAAGTCTGGGGGGACGCGTGCTGTGCCCTTCTGCATCCTCCCCAGGCCAGGGGATGGGGGGGGTGCACAGAGCTTTCTATGGAAATTTGGGCCACAACCTCACCAGTTAGTGTTCTGTGAGGCACCTTGGGTGAGCCACAGTTTTCCAAAGAGAAAATGTGGCCCAAGTGTGTGGTAGCATGCCTCCTGCGAGGGTGCAGGGTGACAGCGTGCCTCCTTCAGGGGTGCAGGGTGACAGCATGCTTCCTGAAGGGGGGATGCAGGGTGACAGCGTGCCTCCTGGAGAAGTGGGACACAGGGTGACAGCATGCCTCCTGAAGGGGGG